AGTGGTTTGTAGAGGGCTACTCCTTACTCACGAAGACAGCAGCTGGAATGTCAAGAAAGTTGGCCTCCATAAGAAAGAAAAGAAAACAAAGCCTGGAGCAGGCGCTGAGGATTGCAGAATATAACCTACGAGACAATCCGTCTTCAGCGCTATACACAGGCATCTTCGAAAAAGCATGGGAAGAGCTGGCAATGTGGACGTGGTGGGATTTGAAAGGACTGCAAGTAAGAGCCAGAATGTGCGAATACGAACTTAGTGGGTCGATGACGAAGAGCCAGTGAAGAAATTATGGAAGTGGCCAAAGAATTCTACCAAGACTTATATCAGACTAAGACCCAAGCACCTAACCCAAGCAGTACATTGGAAGCAAGACGAAGGATGCTATAGTACCTGGAACGAACGATATTACCTGAACAAGCAGAAGAGATGGACAAACCCCTATCACTAGAGGAGCTGCTGCAGGCCCTCAAAAGCATGAACAACGATAAGGCACCAGACATTGATGGACTAACAAAGGAATTTTGGGAAAAATTCTGGCCGAGCCTAGGGGGCGACCTTCTAAACTTTTACGGGGACAGTTTTGAGAAAGGGGGTCTTGGCAACTTTCTCAACAGCAGTGTTGTCACACTATTGTATAAGAAGGGAGACAAATAGGATATTCGAAATTATAGGCCCATTTCCTTGCTCACCCTTCCATACAAAATTCTGGCCAAGTCCTTAGCTGACAGAATTATGAGAATAACTGATAAATGCTTCCATATCGACCAAACAAGCTTCATCCCAGGACGCTACATTCTAGACAATGTGTTGACCCTAAACGAAGCAGCTAACAAAGTCAGAGAAAGGAGAATAAACACAGCCATTCTCTTTTTCGATTTTGAAAAAGCTTACGACCAGGTCAATTGGTCGTTCATGGACGCTAGTATGGAGCGCATGGGGGTGGGACCAGTTTTCAGGAAACGGGTCCAAGTCTTATACAGTGATGCTTCCGGTTGCGTACAGATTAACAGTTTCCTATCTGAGAACTATCCAATATCACGTTCAGTGAGACAAGGGGACCCACTCGCCCCGTCTATCTTCCTATTTGTGATGGAATCCATCGCTTCCTTCCTGCGGAAAGACCCGTCTATTCACAGACGCCCGGAGGTCAACGTGGGGACGTCTCACCACCTCAGGTTCCCGACAGTAATACTGTTCGCAGACGACATTACGGTACTGATCAGAGCCTCAGACTCATCCCTTATGGCGTTGTCCAGGGCAATGGAAGCTTTCAGACTGGCGTCCGAAATGAAGATCAACTGGAAGAAAACCATAGGCTGGTGGCTCTCTGAAGAGCAAATCCCAAATCTCCAAGGGCCGGAGGCTGACATGTCCTGGGACACGCCAGAATCACCCACTCGTTACCTAGGTATTCTCATGACACGGGAGGGTCTAGCGCCCCGGATGGCCCAGAACATGTTAGCAAAGCAGCTGAATAAGTTGGGGAGGTGGGGGAATACTTTTACTTCATTGCTCGGCAGAGTGCTGGTCCTAAACACTTCAGTTTTCTCCATGATGTGGTACATTGCAGCGGTATGGACAATACCAGACAACTCACTAAAGGAATTTACTTCATTGCTCGGCAGAGTGCCGGTCCTAAACACTTCAGTTTTCTCCATGATGTGGTACATTGCAGCGGTATGGACAATACCAGACAACTCACTAAAGGAACTAAACCGGGTAGCGAGATCATACCTTTGGACGGGTAACCCCAACAAGGGAAGTTGTATCCCCAAAATAGCCAGGCAGTATTACAAGGAAACCAATACAAGAGGGGCTAGGAATCATTGACCCGAAGTGCGAGACAAAAGCCCTTCAAGCAAAATGGATAGTTCGGCTGCTGACGAAACCAGAAACGACATGGAACAAACTTGCCTTGGACAGCATAAGGGCTCTAGCTCCGATGCTATCACCAAGCAACATGACGGGTTTATTCTGGGTAATGAACAAGGAATTATCTTTGAAAAATGTGAGAAGAAGATCCAGGGGGGAAATAGAGCAAAACATAGACAACCGCCAAACGCCGTATTGGGCGGCTCTCATCCGGATCTGAAGAGAAATAATGCCGAAAAAGACCAACAGACCCAAATCAAAGGATGAGGTGCTGAGGCAGCCATTATTTGGCAACGAGTGGTTGAAGAGCGAAAGTGATGGACCCTTGTTCTTAAACCGCAAATGGTTATCTTGGGTAAAGAACGGGGTTTGGACAGTTGGACACCTGTGGAACGACGAAAATAAAGAATGGGTTTCCGAGCAGGAACTAAGCACACAACTAAAAGGCTGTCACAGGAGAGGTCCCAACCTGCAGTACATAACTAATCTTGTCCCTCAAGAATGGAAATATATGCTCAAACAAGGGGCAGATTGGAGAAGCGGCGAGTGGGGGGTCATAATACAAGAGAACCACCCCTCTAGGGCTCTCCAATTCTCACATTTACAACAAGGATCTGGTACTCAAGCGGCACACACTCCACGAGGGGTATGCCGTCGATTGTGAATATCAACGTGGAGACCACAATTATGGATTATTTCTTGCTCAGGAAAGTAAGATTGTTGGGCACATGGCCGAAGATCATCTTCAGGTGTGACACGACAATTCATGATTTAGAATTCGACCCGGGGGAGTGGGCGTGGAAACCAAAGAAGAAGACAAAAGTTAAGAAACTCACCCCCATACAGGACTACACGGTCAAACTAGGATACAAACTCCTGCTGAAAACAAAAGACCCAGAGCCGGTGATCAAGGCCAGATGGCAGAAGTGACTAGGACAGGAAGCCGATAAGATGACAAAGATCCCATGGAAAACATACAAAATAATCAGACCAGTCAAAATCAGAAGCCTTCAATGGCTGATAACATACACAGCACTACCAGTCAATCAATGGCTTCATATTAGGCGAAAGGGCTCCGACCCTGATAGTTCTGATCAATGTAAGGTGTGTACGGAGAACGCTGTAGAGGATATAGTASACTGCCTAATCTACTGTAGAGAGGCGACGGTCTACTGGRCGAAAGCATCGACCCTCTGGGATTCYCTTTTCTCTACCCCTTTCCCGGAACARCCCATCCAGCTTCTCCTTCTGATTAACATCCCYGAACAGTCCCGRAAAGCGGAAAGGATTTGGTATGGACTCATCAKKAASGTGACCCTATGGGTTATAYGGAAGKAAARATGCAGCAGAACGATTGAAGATTTCTCCAACGCACGTGAGATGATCTGGTCGGAGACAAAAGCAATGATACAGGCAGAGATCCTGTGCAGATGGCGAAAGATAAAATTATCTTGGTCGGAGGATGAAGAACAACAAAGAAAGGGCAGACGGAGCTTCAACAGGACATGGCTGATAGACGGGAAAATCGCTGAGCTACGGGACGATCGCATCTAAAAAAGGCACAACTCTATCTCAGGAAGGAATGCCGGACAGCGGAGCGCAGAGCACGGGCAAAGCACCCCCGGATTAGAATTCTAAAGAGAAAATTTTCGGACTCGGACCACCACACTCGGGGAGTTGCAGTCGGGGTCTGGTAATAAGTAAAACGGAAGGTGTGAGCAAGGGAGGAGAGGTTCAAAAAGGACTCTCCCAAATGAGGAACGGGGTTTCAGGGTTCAGGTTTTAGATTTTAGGGTTTACGGTTTAGTAGACCTCAAGAGAAGGGAGAAGGCCTAATGGGTGATGGGATACGGCGAAGTAGGGGCAGAACTGAGTAAAGGAAAAGCACAGACATAAAGAAACAATGAGCGGACTCTTTGAGGGGAAACAAGGCAATGGATTATCTGGCAGAGCTGGTCTTCCAGTTCTGAGAGGAAAGAGTGAGCCAGGGCAAGCTGACAGTCAATCCTCCACCTATAGTGGAGTAATCAATGCTGCTCAGGGGTCCTCCGACCAAACGGGAGGAAGCGTGAGTTTTTTGCTGTAATGTAATGTATTTTCTGACTTGCCGGTGGAATAGGAACCAGACTGACGCTCCCCAGAATAGAAGGCGCCAGGACCATAAGGCCTGTCTGTTTTAAAAAAAATAATAATAATAAAAAAAAAATTCTACTATGAGCTGGGTTAAGCTGACGTTCGGCCCAGACGAACCGGGCCAGACGAACGGGGGGGGGATCCGTCCGGCAAAACCAGACGAGCCAAAAAACATCCCAGGATTTTTTTTTTGAAGATGGGGTTGGAGTGCGCTCGCTGAGAGGAGCCCGAATCCGCAGAGAAACTTGTGAATGTCATGTGCGGTGGGGGGGAGGTGGAGGGGGGGATTTGTCAAGGGGGTAAAAGGTTGTGTTGTAGCAGCCAGTCCGCTGAGGGGACATGCTATTGACAGTGCAAGAAGAAGAAGAAGAAGAAGAAGAAGAAGAAGAAGAAGAAGAAGAAGAGGAAGAAGAAAGGAGCAGACTGAAAAAAAAAACAGGCTTTTGACCACTCACGCAAACGAAGTCATATGGCAGGAGATTTGAGTGTCAAAGTCTCTCTCTCTCTCTCTCTTTCTCTCTCTCTCTCTCTCTCTCTCTCTCTCTCTCGCACACACACACACACACACACGTGTCAAAATCTCTCTCTCTCTCTCTCTCTCTCTCTCTCTCTCTC